TAGAGCGTCAAAACACATGACGGGTACGTTCTCTTACTTTCAAACCTATCACCTTCTTTCCGGAAGAGACAAGGTGAGACTAGCTGATGGATCAACACTACCATAGCTGGTCAAGGAACTATTTCTCTCCCTCTCGGTCTTACCCTCTTTGATGTTTTACATGTTCCGAAATTTCCCATTAATTTGTTCTCTGTTAGTAGTATTACTAATAATTTCAACTGCTCAGTGACCTTTTTCCCTTCTTACTGTGTGATCCAGGATCTGGCCTCGGGGAAGATGATTGGTAGAGGATGTATGGTTGATGGACTTTACATGTTGGAGAATAAGACTGGTCTTCAAGTCACAGAGTCTAAGAGTCAGTCCTGTAAGAGTCAAGTTTATTTATGGCATTGTCGTCTTGGTCATTTATCTTTTGAGTCTTTGAAAGTGGTGTTTCCATAATTGTTTAAGTCAGTGCTGTTTCAGATTTCTCTTGTCAAACTTGTCAATGAGTAAGTAGTGTAGAACTCATTTTCTTTAAAAAAATAATAAATCTGAATTTCCTTTTCACATTGTTCATTCTGATGTGTGGGGCCCTGTTACTTTACCATCTGAGAGTGGCTACAAGTATTTTATTACCATTGTCGATGATTATTCTAGATATACATGGGTATATCCCATGCGGACCAGGGATGAAGTACCAAAAATTATCCAAGATTTTCAGCGGATGGTCTTCACCCAATTTCAAACTGAAATCCAAATTTTTCAATCAGATAATGCCAAAGAGTATTTTCATAGTGATCTCATAGAATTTTTTGCTTCACGTGGTTCACTTCATCGTAGCTCTTGTGCCCGAACACCACAACAAAATGGTGTTGCTGAAAGAAAGAACCAACACCTCCTTGAAGTGGCTTGGGGTTTACTATTCCATATGAATGTCCCAAAACGCTTTTGGCTTGAGGCTGTCCTTTGTGCTACCTACCTCATCAACCGTATGCCCTCTCGTTGGTTAGAGTGCAAAGCCCCACATCAACTTCTCTTTTCTAAGGCCCCCCTTCTTCCCATTCATCCTCGTGCTATTCCTTGCATATTTCTGGGGTATTCCTTCACTTAGAAGGGATACCGTTGTTTTGATCCTGTTTCTTGGAAATTCTATGTTTCCATAGATGTCTCTTTCTTTGAGAGTGAGCATTTTTTCCCTGTTTCTCCTCAGGGGGAGAGTAGGAATGAGGAGAAACTTGTTAAGCTCCCTCCTCCTCCTGATCCTCCTCCTTTTCGTGTCTTCTTCCGTCGTCACAAAGGCCAACCAAATTCAAGAGTTGTGGAGAATACATAAGCTGTACTTCCAATGCCATTAAACTCTTCGGGGGCGGATCATACTCACTCAGGTATCTTGGTTCCCATTGATGTCCCTGACCCCATTGCAATTGATACCTCTGTTGCTAATGACCTTGACCTTCCTATTGCTCACAGGAAAGGTGTTAGATCGTGCACCACTAAACACCCCATTTTYCACTTTGTTTCCTATGAAAACATTTCACCCTCTTTTCGAGCCTTTCTCACATCCATTGACAGTATTCCTATCCCTAAGAATGTGGCAGAAGCTCTTTCAGTACCTGAATGGACAGATGCTATGAAGGAAGAAATTAATGYCCTTCATAAAAATGGCACATGGGAACTTGTAGATCTTCCTAAGGGAAAGGATCTAGTTGGATGTAAATGGGTGTTCACAATCAAACATAGGGGTGATGGCACGGTGGAAAGGTATAAAGCTCATTCAGTGGCAAAGGGGTTTACACAAGTGTACGGAGTTGATTATGCAGAGACTTTTGCACCCGTTGCCAAGATGAACTCCATTAGAGTTCTATTCTCTCTTGCTGCTAATCTTGACTGGGATCTACATCAGCTTGATATCAAGAATGCATTCTTGAATGGTGACCTTGAAGAGGAAGTTTACATGATACAACCCCCTGATTTTCAGGCTCAAGGCAACAAAAGGTGTGCAGGTTGAAGAAGTCTTTATACGGGCTGAAACAATCACCGAGAGCCTAGTTCAGCAGATTCCATGCATCGGTTCAGCAGAAAGGATACAAGCAATGTCAATTTGATCACACATTGTTTGTGAAAAGAGGAGAAGGTAAAATTGTTGCTTTGATAGTATATGTTGATGGTATAATTATCACTGGCGACTGGAAGGATGAAATCCAAAAGTTGAAGAGTTTTTTTGCCACACAGTTTGAAGTAAAGGATCTAGGTCCTCTAAGGTACTTCCTAGGAATTGAAGTTGCCTACTCAAAAAGGGGTATCTTCATTTCCCAAAGGAAGTATGTCCTAGATTTACTCTAGGATACAGGAAAAATGAGAGTGAAGCCAGTTGATTCCTCTATTGATCCTAACTATAAATTAGGTGACAGCCAAGGTGAACCTATCAAGGATGTGAAACAGTTCCAGAGACTTATAGGGAGATTGTTATATCTTTCTATGACCTGCCCAGACATTGCTTATGCAGTTGGTGTCCTTGGCCAGTTCATGCATGCCCTTATGACCACTCATCTTGAAGTAGCAGAAAGAATCCTTCGATACCTTAAAAGGTTTCCAGGTGCTGGCTTGTTGTTTCAAAGGCATGGACATTTGAAAGTTGAAGTGTATACTGATGCAGATTGGGCAGGATCCTTAAATGACAGAAAGTCAACTAGTGGCTACTGTACCTTCATAGGAGGAAATCTAGTTACCTGGAGAAGTAAAAAACAAAGTGTGGTAGCTAGATCCAATGTTGAAGCTGAATATCGAGCAATGGCTCATGGAGTTGCTGAAATTATGTGGATAAAGAATCTATTGAGTGAGTTGGGTTTTCTAGTGGACAGACCTATTACCCTATTCTGTGATAACAAAGCAGTTATAAACATTGCTACTAACCTTGTGCTACATGATAGAACTAAACACATCGAAGTCGACAAGCATTTTATCAGAGAGAAGGTTATCACAGGGGAAGTGTGTACTCCCTATGTCAACTCTGAGGATCAACTTGTAGACATCTTTACAAAAGGACTACACCACTCACGACATCATGATTTATGTGACAAGTTGGGCATGATTGACATCTATGTCCCAACTTGAGGGGGAGTGGTAACAGCTGTTATTTTTCCTATGTATAGTACCACAGGGGTACTATTGTACTTTTACTCTTTTATTTTAGTTGCTGTCGCCCTAGTATATATATTAAAAAAGCTGTGCCGCCAGTAGTATCTTTTGCTCTCAGTTCTCTCTTCTTCTCTCTCTTTTCTCTCTTCCATTCTTCTCTCCTGCATAACACAAATTACAAACGCTTTTTAACTTTTCTTTTTCAAAAATAATAGTGAGAAAAGAAAACCCTAAAGGAAGAAACAAGTGAAGTTTGTTTTTTTTTAGAATTCAATTAGGAAAGATGTAATCTTCATCAAGCCTTATTGTTGTTATTTGGGACTTTATGGAATCCATTACTTTTTCTTTTTTCCTTCCTTGGTGTTAATGGCCTTTTTCTGAAACATTTGATCCTTCCCTTGCCTTGGGAGTTTGGGTCTTTATCTCCTTTTCTCTTCTTTTTTTTTTTTTTTTTATAATAATATCACATTTTACCAATGAAAGGGGTGTGGGTGGGGACTGGGGAGGAAAAAGGGAAGTGGAAGGAAATATCCACTATCTGGTCTACACTTTAAATCATTTCTCACCACCTTAGTCTATTTTTGTAGACTAATGTACCAGTGACCTCATCACTTTTTCAGTTAAAAACCTTTTTGTGTGATATAGCATCTAAAGCAAGTTTCTTTTGTTTATAACTTATTGCTGTAATCCAAAGTTCCATTGGTAAATTTTGGAATTTTAAGTTTTCTGCTATTCTAAACAAACCTAACATCTGAAGCTGTATTTTCTTGTTAAAGCCTGTGTCTGAATCATTTTTCATTGCCTTGATTGTGTCCTTGCCTTCCACTCTGTAGCATTGGGCCTCTACTGATAACGTCCTACCTTCTGCTTTACATATTGGACTTGATTTTGGGTACTAGATCACTTCAGTGAATGGCCATTTACTTGTATCTTGTTGGAGTTACTCCTGTGATCTACTGGACGGGCTAAACTGACTGCCTGCCTTGATTTTATGATACTTGTAACCTGAAGAGCTGGAAGCTGCAAATGCCAAAAAGAGCTGAAAGTCTGAAACCTAGAATTGTAGCAGTGGAAGTGAGAGCCATAATGTGACACCTTATAAATAACCAGAAGTTACTAACCACATCAAATATCTGTTCTTTCTTTGTTACTTCTGGAATAATTTTTTTTTTTTGGACGGCTTTTTGATTTATCTTTTAGTGAATAAGTTGTTAAGGAGATTATGAGCTCCTTAGGCTGCATTTGGCATGTATTCAGAGTATTATTCCAATGAATTATGTGATTCTAGGAATCATAAGTGTAAAAATATGAGAACTGCTGGAACTAGTTCATTTTCTGAGCACAAAACTCATTCTAAGAATTGATTCTTTTGACCTACAAAATTTAGCTTAAAAAACGAATCATTTTTTGCTCTAAACTCATTCTTCAAATAGTTATTCTTTGAAGCAGAATAGTTACCACAAGTAGGCTTAATGGCTGAAGCTGTAAGTTGGGTTGTTTACTATACCCTTCAATATTTTATTATATAGTAATTTTATCTACTAAAAAGACAAAGCAACAAGTCTTTCGGTTCAGCCACTTCAGCCATTTTCACGGTCCCTCAGTTGTGAAAAGCACCCAAATCGTATTTTTGGTTCTCTTTGATTTAGTTTATTCATATTTTGGAAACCCTTTAGATCATGTTTACCGATTAGTCCCATAAAACATTTTCTTTTCAAACTATTTAAGAAAATTAAAGAGATTACCTACTTTCCTAATTCAATAAAAAAGTTGCCTAAAAATATATTGAATTGGGTAACTGCAGTACAAGAGGGTTGGTTTATTTGACCTCTACGGATGAGAAGGATAATGATTTCTATGTTGGTGAATTGCATTTGCAGGCAGGAGCTGATGCCTGCTTTGTGGAGGCACCAAGGGACGATAGCGAACTCAGGGAGATTGGGCGTCAAACAAAGGGTTACAGGGTCTGCAACATGCTTGAAGGGGGAGTCACTCCATTGCACACACCGGAGGAACTTAAAGAAATCGGCTTCCACCTCATCGTGCATCCCCTGACAACTCTTTATGCATCAGCTCGTGCAACCATTGATGTTCTCAAAGCTCTGAAGGAGACTGGGACAACCAGAGATCGTCTTCACAAAATGGCTACCTTTGAAGAGTTCAATCAGTTGGTCAGCCTGGAGTCTTGGTTTGATCTTGAAGCACGATACTCAAATTTCAAGGTGGGTGCTGCAGTGAAATCATGATGCGGTCGGATTCGTGTAGGGATTTTATGTTTTAATTTGAACAGGGATCTTTACATTTCAACGACCTCATACCTTCTAAGAGCTACTACATTTGAGGTAGGATGTATTTTCATCAAAGGCCATTTGACTTCTTTCTCCTTTTTCCTTTTCGTTTCTTTTGAAGAATCACTATTTAATTAGATAATTCATCTTATTAATAACTGCTTTAGTTACTTGGATGGTTAGTAGAATACCAGATCATGTTATGGGCTTCAAAGTTCATAAATAGCATGACTATGGTCATTCTTAGGTGGACTGCACTAGCTATGTACTTACATGTGGGGTCATAGAGGAGTAAATATCATGAAGATGGTCATCGTCGTCAATGAAGTGGGATCATTCCATTGGAAGTTTAATAAATTATTTTTTGGTAAAATTAATAAAGTAATATGGATACGATGTGATTATCCATAAAATGTTCCCACAGAACACCACCGCCGGGCATTGGGAAACATCTCCCTATGAATGAAAAGGGTGATATTCCCAATGCACAGCTGTTATGTCCCGTGGGTAAGGATGTGGAAACAACTTCTTGGTAGGCAGATCCGAGCCCTTATATGAGGTTCTGTTTATGAGTGACCCAGGCACCCAGTTGTGATCCGAGCTCTATGATAATGCCCCATGTTGTGGTCTCATGTATTTCGACTGGGGCATACAAACAAAAGTCAGCCTATTTGTACTCCCATGCATTTACACCTATGCAACTTGCTTTACAAAAAAACCTGGGTGGGGCAGAGCAGCATGCAAGGCCCACTGGCCATACCAAGGAAAGCCTGCAGTCCCACGGGTTTGATCCCATGCCTCCTGTCTAGATAATTTGGCTTAGTTGAACGTTGAAGGGGTGATTCATTAGTATGTTCTGTTTTGATCCAACATTGATGTAGAATCAATTCTCACAACCACCCATTTGGGAAAAAGAGAAATTATTAGTGGGGCATGGCATCACATATCAAAAAAAAGTATCAATTTTGTAGTAATGCAAATCATAATTATAAAAAAATGGTTACAAAACTGGATGCAAAATTTGTATTGGGTTCAGATTTGTATTGCAATTAATTAGGTGGTGTTAGCCAATTTAGTCATTTTTTTCTCAATAAAACAAGTGCTCTATAATTAATACATTAAACAGTGGAAATCCTATCTTTATGTCTGCTATCACTTTCAGAAGGTCTCACATATGATGTCTGTTATATAGATAACTAAAACATAAACAGAATAAATAATAAATAAATAATATAAAAGGGATAAGTAGACTACTAGTGCACTTCACCTACAAAATCTAAAATTACAGCCCCCTCCTAGTATATTAGTAGCCGCCTTATAAATCGCATCACTGTCCGTAGATTTGATATACGGTCAGGATTCATCCCATCTATAAAGTGGGGCTAAGATTTTTTAAGGTGGAGTGAACAATAAAAACATTGAAATGGCAACTTTGGAGTCTGAAGAATTTCCAAATTTTGAAATAAGAGGGGTATTTCTGCAACTTTGTGGTGAAAATTTATTGCCGACAACAATTGACAATTTGCCTTGCACAAAACAGTAAGCCATCATACGGAGAATATGCCTTGATGTTTTGTTGCAATTTCTGTCAAATCAGTTTCTGGGATGTTGATCTAGTGTGGTTCTCATTAATCAGCATAGGTATTGATTTCCAGGGCCACTAATTTGCTATTTTCTTAGAGTTAGGTTATTTTATTTCAATGGTTTTAAATAATAAAAGAAGTCGTATCATAACCACTGATAAATTGTTAAATAAAGAAAAGCAAAATTTCAATTGATTGAAACTGTCAATATGCAATTTTTTCGTATCAAAAACCTTGGCTGAAATAATAGTTCTATATCCTATTTGGGTCACCTGGCCCTGATCTAAGAACATGCTGTTTTGGTGTAGGGTTCTTAGGAATCTCACCTCCATTATTGTTTGGTCCTTTAATGTGTTGGATGTGGTGATCATAGAAAAGAGGCCTTAGTGATGATACAAGGAAGAATTTAGTTTACTTTATAAAGATTATATAAATATGTATTTATGTATATAAAAAACTTATCCACACACACATATATATATATATATAAAATTTTTGAATAAGGCAAATTTTTAAATATGTCAATTATATACTCTTTTATAACATAATAATGCTAATATTGGTTCAACATGAACCCTCACAGTATAGGAAATGACCACATTTAGTAAAAATAAAGTAGAAAAGTCTAACCAACCTAAACCAACCTCAACTCAACCTGATTACTGTTAGGGTTAGGGTTGGCCTCCACCCAACCTAACTCAGCCCAACTTATACCCCTAGTAAAAGTGGGTAATTATAATTATAATTATATATATATATATATATATATATATATATATATATATATNTAACAGCTGTTATTTTTCCTATGTATAGTACCACAGGGGTACTATTGTACTTTTACTCTTTTATTTTAGTTGCTGTCGCCCTAGTATATATATTAAAAAAGCTGTGCCGCCAGTAGTATCTTTTGCTCTCAGTTCTCTCTTCTTCTCTCTCTTTTCTCTCTTCCATTCTTCTCTCCTGCATAACACAAATTACAAACGCTTTTTAACTTTTCTTTTTCAAAAATAATAGTGAGAAAAGAAAACCCTAAAGGAAGAAACAAGTGAAGTTTGTTTTTTTTTAGAATTCAATTAGGAAAGATGTAATCTTCATCAAGCCTTATTGTTGTTATTTGGGACTTTATGGAATCCATTACTTTTTCTTTTTTCCTTCCTTGGTGTTAATGGCCTTTTTCTGAAACATTTGATCCTTCCCTTGCCTTGGGAGTTTGGGTCTTTATCTCCTTTTCTCTTCTTTTTTTTTTTTTTTTTATAATAATATCACATTTTACCAATGAAAGGGGTGTGGGTGGGGACTGGGGAGGAAAAAGGGAAGTGGAAGGAAATATCCACTATCTGGTCTACACTTTAAATCATTTCTCACCACCTTAGTCTATTTTTGTAGACTAATGTACCAGTGACCTCATCACTTTTTCAGTTAAAAACCTTTTTGTGTGATATAGCATCTAAAGCAAGTTTCTTTTGTTTATAACTTATTGCTGTAATCCAAAGTTCCATTGGTAAATTTTGGAATTTTAAGTTTTCTGCTATTCTAAACAAACCTAACATCTGAAGCTGTATTTTCTTGTTAAAGCCTGTGTCTGAATCATTTTTCATTGCCTTGATTGTGTCCTTGCCTTCCACTCTGTAGCATTGGGCCTCTACTGATAACGTCCTACCTTCTGCTTTACATATTGGACTTGATTTTGGGTACTAGATCACTTCAGTGAATGGCCATTTACTTGTATCTTGTTGGAGTTACTCCTGTGATCTACTGGACGGGCTAAACTGACTGCCTGCCTTGATTTTATGATACTTGTAACCTGAAGAGCTGGAAGCTGCAAATGCCAAAAAGAGCTGAAAGTCTGAAACCTAGAATTGTAGCAGTGGAAGTGAGAGCCATAATGTGACACCTTATAAATAACCAGAAGTTACTAACCACATCAAATATCTGTTCTTTCTTTGTTACTTCTGGAATAATTTTTTTTTTTTGGACGGCTTTTTGATTTATCTTTTAGTGAATAAGTTGTTAAGGAGATTATGAGCTCCTTAGGCTGCATTTGGCATGTATTCAGAGTATTATTCCAATGAATTATGTGATTCTAGGAATCATAAGTGTAAAAATATGAGAACTGCTGGAACTAGTTCATTTTCTGAGCACAAAACTCATTCTAAGAATTGATTCTTTTGACCTACAAAATTTAGCTTAAAAAACGAATCATTTTTTGCTCTAAACTCATTCTTCAAATAGTTATTCTTTGAAGCAGAATAGTTACCACAAGTAGGCTTAATGGCTGAAGCTGTAAGTTGGGTTGTTTACTATACCCTTCAATATTTTATTATATAGTAATTTTATCTACTAAAAAGACAAAGCAACAAGTCTTTCGGTTCAGCCACTTCAGCCATTTTCACGGTCCCTCAGTTGTGAAAAGCACCCAAATCGTATTTTTGGTTCTCTTTGATTTAGTTTATTCATATTTTGGAAACCCTTTAGATCATGTTTACCGATTAGTCCCATAAAACATTTTCTTTTCAAACTATTTAAGAAAATTAAAGAGATTACCTACTTTCCTAATTCAATAAAAAAGTTGCCTAAAAATATATTGAATTGGGTAACTGCAGTACAAGAGGGTTGGTTTATTTGACCTCTACGGATGAGAAGGATAATGATTTCTATGTTGGTGAATTGCATTTGCAGGCAGGAGCTGATGCCTGCTTTGTGGAGGCACCAAGGGACGATAGCGAACTCAGGGAGATTGGGCGTCAAACAAAGGGTTACAGGGTCTGCAACATGCTTGAAGGGGGAGTCACTCCATTGCACACACCGGAGGAACTTAAAGAAATCGGCTTCCACCTCATCGTGCATCCCCTGACAACTCTTTATGCATCAGCTCGTGCAACCATTGATGTTCTCAAAGCTCTGAAGGAGACTGGGACAACCAGAGATCGTCTTCACAAAATGGCTACCTTTGAAGAGTTCAATCAGTTGGTCAGCCTGGAGTCTTGGTTTGATCTTGAAGCACGATACTCAAATTTCAAGGTGGGTGCTGCAGTGAAATCATGATGCGGTCGGATTCGTGTAGGGATTTTATGTTTTAATTTGAACAGGGATCTTTACATTTCAACGACCTCATACCTTCTAAGAGCTACTACATTTGAGGTAGGATGTATTTTCATCAAAGGCCATTTGACTTCTTTCTCCTTTTTCCTTTTCGTTTCTTTTGAAGAATCACTATTTAATTAGATAATTCATCTTATTAATAACTGCTTTAGTTACTTGGATGGTTAGTAGAATACCAGATCATGTTATGGGCTTCAAAGTTCATAAATAGCATGACTATGGTCATTCTTAGGTGGACTGCACTAGCTATGTACTTACATGTGGGGTCATAGAGGAGTAAATATCATGAAGATGGTCATCGTCGTCAATGAAGTGGGATCATTCCATTGGAAGTTTAATAAATTATTTTTTGGTAAAATTAATAAAGTAATATGGATACGATGTGATTATCCATAAAATGTTCCCACAGAACACCACCGCCGGGCATTGGGAAAC